CGGAGCAATCTGGGGAGCTGGAAGCTGAGAACTGGCGACTTTGTAGTGCAACTTTAGTACAAGCGCCAAGCAGCATACATCCACCCGCACACTGATACACACTGACGAACAAGCACAGACACACAAACACACACCTCACGTACACACAGAGACCCTCATGCCTTATATCTGTCTCGCCTGTCTCTTCCCCATGCTCACTCTTCCGCACTTTACCCCTGCAGCCTCAATCTTTCGAAGTTGTTCACATGTGGGGTTATCCGGTCCTATAATTCCCAAAGCGCAGATTTGCTTGGGCGGCTAAAGATTGGTGGTTCACTTTGACTGGTATGTTTGGCTGATGATCCAAGTTTTGGGGGTGATGAACCTTTTGGACCGCGAAGCCTGGTCACTGGATCACAGCACTGTCGTTGGACTGGACCCATGTCTTTACGACGCAGGTCGTTGTTTCCCCCAACTGGGCCAAGGGGCCCAAGAAATCGCCGACGGAGCCATGAGCTGCACAACATAAAGTCCTCGGTGGGTGGGGACTCAGACGATCAAGGATTGATCGAATTTGATAAGAATATATATATATATATGTATAATATATATATATATAATAATATATAATATATATATATAGTCGTGTAATGAACATAATATAACATAGTTATATTATATATATATGTAACAACGCCACCAGCAACGGCTTGATCAGAGTTTGTATGCGATTCCGGCGATCCAATTGAACATTGTGATCAAGCATGATCAAGCTATATAGGGTGTAGCCACCAAAAAACGCCCATGTTTTCAGGAGAGCCGCTCGTGGGTCTATGATTCATTAGTTTCTCTGTTGAGATGTAGAAAAGATGTGTGACGTGTAATTATCGGATTACTTAGGTTCAGTGACTCTCAGTTCTTTTCAGACCGACAAACCAACGGACTGCCACTTTGCCTGCTTTCGCTTCACAGACCGCGCTTGCTTCACGACACAGGAGGCTGGATCCCGTCGACATGTGGACTTGCTATGGTGGCGACAGCATCAGGCGCCCCACCCGTGCACCGCGGTCGCCGAAAGCGGCCGCACGCCGCCCCACCGGTGCCGACATGACAATAATGGCCGCATTGCGAGACACGACCCGCAAGTACAGTTACATGGAGTTACGAAAGAAACAACTTCCAGGACCCTCCGACTCACCAATTGAGACCTGTTAGGGTCCAACAACCCTCAACTAACAGCCTGTTGGGTGCTGGTTTGTTGATCTTGGTTGGATACACAACAACATTCAGGACAGGGTGGACGGTTTGATTGGTGCAGCTGGGACATACTCGTGAACTTAACTTAATCTTGAAGGATCGCTTCCGGGCTTGAAGGAGCGCTCAAAGGCCCGGGAGGCTTGTGTCGGGTTGCGTCCGATGGCCACCAGCCAGCCATCCTTTTGTTTGATCAAGCGTTTTCTTTCACTAGACCATGTGCGCAGTAAATATTTCCGGGGCGGTGTGTGGTTGTCCATGTTTGTGGTAGAGCTCATACTTATGTCTTGATGCTTATTGAAGGCTGTCGCTATTAGGTCGGAGGCCATCGCTATTAGGTCGGAGGCCATCGCGATTAGGTTGGAAGCCATTGCTATTAGGTTGGAGGGTTGCAAGCTTCGACACTCTGCCACAGAGACAGACAGGTTGAAACCCAGAGACAGAGGATGCGAGAGGAAAAGGACGCACAAGAGGCTGGTGGACATTCATGACACTGGCTTCACACACCCAGCTGAGGTTGGGTTTCTTGATATTTCAGTAGGGAGACCTTCTGGCTCCATTGGTAGACTGGTCTATTTCCCGAACCTTCCAGGGGATCGGAACGCCTGGCAGTTCTCCCTATGTACACACCCTTTTGGACATGTTTTGTGGTTTTTAGAACCACATGTTGTGCCCAACTAAATGACAAGATAAAGCTAAGGATTTGTGTAGGTGGTCCGTGCCTGTTGAGTGAACTGAATCTGAGCTTTGTATTGAATTAATGTAGCAATCCAACATTTGTTTACACCTTGTTGTTTCTGGTATTTTCCTGCTTGCTTCAGTGGGTTGGCTAGCGAACTCAAGATGCAGCGGGGCCTACTTCTTGGGCAAAATGCCCGGGTGCCAGCTCGCTTGTGCGTCATTTCGGGAAACCGCACCACAAACCACATGGGAGGTGAGTCAGGCAGCGATGGGGTCCTTCGTGTCCAAACAGGGCGATCCATGAAACGACCAAAAAAGAAGGGGATCACGGTGGATAAGTCAGTGTAACCGTAGGGGGTGGTCCTTTGGAAAATGACATCGTATGCAGTCGGATCAAGCAACAACTTGAGAAATACCCACGAAGCTGAAGTCTCTGACTTGAAGTCGATCCAAGCTCCGCCCGGCTCCGCCCGCCTCAGGCGGAGCAGTGCCCCTTCGCGCCCTGCCTGGTGAATCGACGGACGCGCTCCGTGCATGGCGCGGAGCCTCCAGCTGAAAGGTCGGCATCGACGTATAATATAACCGGGTAGCGGTGGGTCGGAAGATGTTGTGCCAGGCAGTTTCAGTGTGCAGACTAGTAGCAATGGCCTCCAACCTACTAGCTTCTTGTTACTAGTAGCTTCTTGTGGTGCCATGGAGTTTCAGTGTGCAGTTGGTTCACAAATTTGGAGCCACCCCTGCCTGTGGGAAAAGAGTTGAAGATGTTGAAGAGGGCTGAGCGCATCAGAAGTGCGTCAGCATGTTGGTCAGGTTCGTAAGGGTTTACTATGGTTTACTCATCACTCAGGACTTTAGTCATGATCAGATGATATCGGGATATGGGAGTTGATCGAAAACCCCGTGTAAGGAGTTTTATATAAAACAGCCTTTCAGATGTTGTTAGAACCATCCGCGAAAGATTCGCGATGAGGTTCGCGAAAGTATCTTTTTTTCCGCGAAAGATTTATCGAAGGTCATCGCTTTCATTGTTTTCCTTTCTACCGGACTGACAAAGAATAGAAATGCAAGGCAATCCTGCGGCAGAGCCAGCGGGCGGAAGTGTCCCCATATGTCACAGACTAACGAACTGAAGCCTCAACATTTCCGTGCCCAGCCCTGGCAGTGCGCAAAGGATTCTCCGATTCCTGTCCCCACTGTCACAGACTAGCAATCTGGGTAGGCACAGCCCTGACAGTGAGGCAACGACCTGCAGCTGCTCTGACGGGCTGTGCAGATGTTTGCAAATTTTACGGCTTCCCGGGGTGAAATTTCGCGAAAGATCCGCGAAAGCTTCGCGAATGTGCCGCTAAAGTCTAGGTTCCCAGCGTGAGGCCCCCCAACATTCCCCAAGCTGCATCGCCCTGTGTTGGTAGCTGACACGAAGATTGGGTTGAGTTGTGCCTGACTCTATTTGGCACAATTGTCGCACAGATGCTGCAAGTGACCCTGAGTAGCTGTGGAAACGTTCAACCATCTACTGGGGTCATGCTGCAAGATGTCTCTCCCTATTTTGTGATACTATGGCATGTTCCGGCTCATGTTAGCTAGACATGGTTGTAGGACCATGCTTCGCGATGAGGCCGCGAAAGATCCACGAAAGATATCTTTTTTTCCGCGATGAATGGCCATTCCAGGATGAAAGAATATTGATCAACCACCATATATCGGGTGGGTATTGCATAAAAATGCTTCAGAGTCATCTCTTTGTGCCTCGGGAGTTGTTTTAACCAAACTGCCTGTTGCCGGATGCCGTGGTATGGTTCGCGACCAGCGAATGGAATAACCAATTCCATGAAAGATCTCGAAATCCAAGCTCTCGATTCCATGAAAGATCCATTATACAAGTTCTTATGCATTTGTAGCTACTATCTATACAGTATATGATGATATATGATGTAATATAATATATAGCCTATAGCTTAATTATATGATACATGACCAGCGGCAGGCGGCCACACGAGTCGCCTTCGACCCCAGGTGGCCTTCGGCTCTATGAGCAAGCGACGGCTCGACAAATGAGTCGCGAGGAGAGACGAGTAATGACCGACTCAACATCAACGATCGAGCCGATGATGAAAGTGCAGATTGGGAGCCTGGCTCCGTATTACCTAATCTAGGTGATGCATTTTGCCGGGTTGAAAGTGCCAACCTAGGGTTGTTTGTGATGTTTTTGTGCTAGATTTTGTCGAAGTCTGGACAGCTGCAGATGCATGTTTTGAGAATTCAAAGAGCAGACCCAGTTGTTGGAAAGATGGCGAACTCCATGCTGGGTGTGACTACTCCTCCTGGCAGCACCAACTACCAACTGAAGACTCCGCAAACTTGTCTACAACTTCGATACCACTGTGCAGCACGTGACTTTCATTTTTTGCGGTTGGATTGGAGGTTGTCCTGGTTCCTCCAAGAGGATTCAATTGAGTTGTTTGCTCTCAAAAATTCTCAAACACAGAAACGTCCAGTACTATGAATCGTTGATGAATTAAACAAACACATACACTTATATAACACATGACATACACGTGTTCAAAGCGTCTGAACAGCGTCTGAACAGCTTTGGATCTTCTGTCCAGCAGGAGACCTGGACAGCTCAAGCGCAGCAGCGGCAAGAGCGGGAGATGGCTGTGGGGAGGCTCAAGAAGCCTCGTTGGACCGGGTCCGATCATCCCGGACTCATCCGGGCTACGGCGAACAGCGCCCATCGCCTCGGACGTGCTGCCGTTGGACGAGCCTGGGGCCGTTGGACTAGACGGGAGGACGGAGATCTGCAGTGGTTTGTGATGGTTTGTGTCGTTGTGGTGGATCTCTCAGAAACTCGCACCCTCCACTTACGGGGTCAAGGTTTAAGGATGGGCAGCCATTCATGTAAGATGACCCCGGCTTGCTGTTTCATGTATATACAGAGTTTTGCTATTGCAGCTGTATTGAATCAAGCGATTTGTCCTTGGCAGTGGAACAAATTTCTGGCCTATCAGCAGACAGACATCAAGAGATGTCGAAACTCTTCAGTGGTAGTTTGCTTCAATCTTCAAAAAGCCTCACTGTCGAGATAGTTGTTCATTTCTTCTCAGGTTGGCCAGTAGCAATGACATTCGGAACAGATTCGTCCACGTCACAGTCGGACTCTGCGGTTCTCGAATGTCGGACTTTATTCTACGGCGGCCACCTGAAGTCCTAGAAGGAGTGGCTGAGAAGCTCTTCGGTGAGCATTGGAGGAGAACTTCCATATATATGGGTGTGCTTCTAATAGGAAGACCCCCCCAACCCAACCAATGGGTTTTGGTCTTTGGTCTCCGTATTTTGGTCTACTAACCCATATATTTGATACGGAACGCCACAGATTTGGCGATTCAGGTGACACATGCTCCCAAGGGCTTCTTCGCTGCGGCGAGCGACACATGCTTCGTGACGCTGCCCTCACGAATGGCCCCTGTAGGTGTCGTGAATGGCTGCTGTATGTGTGGTGCGTTGGTGGTGTTACCCTTGATCTCAACCTGTCCCCTTCATAGTGTTGTATACGCACCACCCATGGTAATGTAGGCAGAGGTAGACTATGGTAGACTCTAGATTGATAGAAGACCCACAGGAAGAGGTCTTACAATCCAAATAGGGGGGCTTACTCATTCTTTCCAATCCTGAGGAGCACGTTGGAGTGGCCTTTTTGGCTTGGGCGCCATTTTGGCCATCCATAGCTATCCCACCACACCCCATGTGGTCTGAGGTTCAAGAGCGCCAAGGGCCATGACGGTTGGGTTCAGGATGCAGCAGCCAACTACATCTTTGGTCCTTCGGCCCGGTTGGTGAATTGGATCTGAGTCACAGGTGGTGGTGTATGGCGCCGAGATGACCCCGCAGGTCTGAAGAGACCTGCCACACGGACTGACCTGCGATGTTGCCGAAGATTCATCTCCACCGAAAGTATCAGGAAGGTAGATCCACGTAGATCCAGCACTTGTTTGTTGATGCTCGTTGCCAACGGTCGAGTCTGTGTGTTTAACAACTTAAGATCAACTAACTGCCCTTTGTGTTCAAATATTGAGCCATAATTCTTTTAGAGGCACTGATGTTGTCCTCAAAAAAGAAACAAACAGTTTCCTACGGGCTAGTGCAGCAAATCTACACTTTGCGCGCTTAATTTGTACTTCGATACCCTCAAATATTGTCAAGCTCCTCTAATGACTGACTTAGCTGCTTGGGACCAAAATACATCCATCACAAAGATACTCAGTTCAATTCAGCATTTGAAATTCTTGTAGTGTGGCTTCTTGGACCATTGGACTGTCTCTCGCATATATCCTTCGTTTCAGCTGGATCTCAAATTGCAAGCATCTCCATAGTCTAATCTCCGTCCTGATGTTTAAAAACCATTCCCAAAGGCGGTTTTGGCCATCACAACCAGGGTTTTTGGACCGAACCAACATGTAGCAGTTGGTTCGGGTCCAGGGTCGCCTCTGGGTTCTATAATCAATTCTAAGCTATTAATGAAGCAGTCTTGACCACACTTTTTAGACCGAGGCGTCCATCATGTCCAAATACGATCCATATAAATTAGCTGGACAAAAACAAGGCAGCCGGCGGGTGTTTCCCTCCAGTCTTTCTCATGCAAAGAATCAAGCTATCGAGCTTGGACAGCGTCACGTGCTTTGAAAGGGTCAACGCAACCACTGTACTCAGTTATAAAACTATGACATTCTCGGTAGTTTCTGCCTGCAATTCACTTGCAGAGTGTTTCTGTTTATGCGTGTGCAAATCCAACAACCACATATTAAAACAGCTTGCAAAGCAAATTTGTACGACAATTATATATATATATTATATATGTATTATATACATACACAATAATATTGGACGAATGTGAGTGACCAGATGCAATGTTTCAGAGAATTGTCCATTTAGATCTAATTTGCCGTTGCGGACCTTGTCTTTTGGTTTATAACATTTTATAGCAGGTGGTTTATCCTTTGCTGTGGCATTGAGATCCCGATGTTTTGGTCAATATTTCGCTGGAAGCCCCCAAAGGAACCCTCAAACATAAACATGTAGCGAGGCGTGCCAGATCCGTGGGTTGTCAGTGGAGACTTTTTTGCATGACCATCCAGCGTCCAGTAGCAAGGCTTGATCATTGAATCATTGACTCGACCCTCCAATCCGCTCAATAACGGGAACCCTGGTCTTTCACTACCAAAGTCGTGGGCGCCGCAGGCGACTTTGGCTCGGGGCTTCAAGCAGCAGAGGCCATGATGGGCTCTGGCTGCTGGGCGCTGAAGATCCCGTTGATGGAGAATCACGAGAACCGTAGTTCCCCTCCCAAAGTTTCCGCGACATGGGAACTCCTGCAGTTCACGCAGGATCATACGCAGGATCGGAGGGTTCGCGCAGGCTGTTTTCTAGGTCCATGGCTGGGGCCAGCATTCTAGGATATTCTCGGTGCAGGTTCCGCCAATGGCTCCAGCAAGATGGGTTCAACTGGCATACCTCTGGAGGATGTGACCCTTAAACTGCGGAACCCTCCAAGCTCGCAGGGTCGAGGACACCCCAAAAGCGTCCGAGTCGTTTGCCCAGTTCTGCCGAGTCGTTTGCGTCGTTGTGAGCGTCGAGGCAGACTCCGAGTGCTGGATGCTGGTTGTGGCTGTGGCGGTCAGTTGTTGGACCGAGCCATGGGCGTCGGGGCGTGGAGCGCCGCGGCGTTCAGAGCGTCGGCAAGGTGTTGGGGTGTTGCAACCGACGGGAAGCCGAGGACGACACCGAGGTCGAAAACACGCGCATCATGTTTCTCCACCGTTTGAAAGAGGAGGCAACTTCATTTTCGTGCAGAAAGGATCTGAAAGGAGTGGTTTCATATGGATTCTGATGGAGAGTATGATGTGGCACAGCGATCCACTTCAACTAAAACGCATCACTGAGCCAGGGATTTTTTGTGAAGGCCCCCAGAATCAAACCATATCCAAGCAAAGGAAAAGGAAAAGATGATGCCCCCGCAATGCCGGTGGAGGTTGAGACATTCGACGAAGCGATGTAAAAACACTCGTTTTAACATGTTTGAAAGGCCATAGAAGCACATATAGAAGCCTCATTATAGGGTTGTTGCAAATAGTCTGCAGAGCCGCCAGCAGGAGCAGGTACAGCATGCCACAAAATCCCTTCGTCCCTTCATTGACCTGGATCCTCATCCAAAGAGTCAAGAAGGAGCCCAAAGGGGTGAAGGTTTTGCCCTTGCTCCGTCCGTAGCGATGCCCTTAGTTATACTAGTAACTATAGTAGCTTCTTGCTACGTTCGTAGCGGCCACCAGCGCTCCATTCGTCGCCCACGCCCACCGCATGGGCGTCCGGGGTCCGCATCGCCCGCGAGGTCGGCCCACCGGAACGGCGTGGCGTTCCGGTCGCAGGAGCTGGCGCACCTGGCTGAAGCGCGGCACAGTCCTGCGCTCCTTCGGGGCCTCACCGCGGAGCAGATCCAGCACCGCTGTGCCGTGAAGCTCCAACCACGCGTGGCGTGGTGAAAGAGCCGTTGAACGGTGTGGTTCGATGCGGAGGATGGTGAGATGATGTGATATGTGGTCATAGGTGTGTCAGGTATAGTGTGTGTCAGCGTGTGTCAGGTATAGCACACCCTCTTCCCCCACACATGTCACAACTATCCTGTATATGAGTTGATTTGGGATGCAGCTAGGCCCATCCCTCCTAGCAAGTGATACAGGAGAACTCTTCTTTGGGGAGTAGGAGTAAAAGCGTGCTGTTTTCCAGCCAAGCGGCCAAGGTCATATCGTTTCCTGGAGGTTGCAAGAACGAAGTCGCAGATGCTGATCTCATTGATTTGCTCATCTACCAGGGCTTTCCACTGGAGGATATAACATTGGCAGATGTAGATTTTGTGAAGGAAGGCCAGTTGTTTGATCTCATTTTGTGCTCCTGGACGCTTTTCCATCTTTGCGATCCCTTGGGAACTCTTTTGCAGCTTCGGCAGTTCTTGGACCGAGAGGGGGTGATGCTGGTGAATGGCGCATATCTCCATTTCGAGCTTCCAAGTCCGCCCCAAAACCCTGAGCCCATGGACTTGTTTCGACGCTTTTGCGAAGAGCTGAGAAGCTACGGAGTGGAGACCTGTGTGACGGGAGGACCCATCAGGTGGCTTCAGGGTGAGGGTGAGGATGGAGACTACGTGGGTGGAGTCCTGTCAGTGCTATGGATAACATCTCTTGTATAAAAGGTGGTTTATGGACCCTCCATGACATGCCCTGACTATATGATACTATATGATACTATATGTATGTTCCATCCAATAATCAATCCTATTCCATCCTTTTGGCGGTGCTGGTTATTAGTTTGTTGTTGTTTCTTCTTGACTTTTTGGTCTTTGGTACCCCCAACATGGTGTTGTTTGTCCTTTTGTTGACCCTCCATCCAAGGATATGAGATTAGCATGCAATGGCTGGGGAATGAGAAGAGAGTCTCCGAGATTGAGAGGAGGGTCTTTGAGATTTGTGGATTCTCCAGCCAAGCCGTGCTGGACAAGGTGTGGTGTTTGGCTTCTGGGCCCCAATACTGCGTGAGCTCTTACGAACTACGACTTTGAGAAGCAAGAGGCATGGAGGTGAAAGCTAGGCCTGCCCACCTCCGCCGCCAGACAAACTGTCTTCGACACTGCAAGAGTTTCCTTTGCCGTGTTACCTTTAATGATGCAGTACGTGTAGCACCATCCTGCAAAGGCGACCTCCAGCACCAAAACTAGCACTGATGAGATCCTGTTATCCTACAAACCAGCCGGTGCAATTGGCATCACCATTTTCGTCCATTTCTGGCGGCTGCTTGGCACAAGCTCCCACTCAAACACGTCCGTTCCATTTGCCGAGTGTCGCCCATCCCTGCAGTCGGCGAGCGCAAACCAAAAAAAAGGCTCCGTGGAGCCACAGGTCAGCGTGCAGCGTGATATCGTGCAGTCTGATCAGTCTGGCAGTCGGGAAAAGTGGAACTGGCAGTTTCACTGGCGTCATCTGGCTTCAATTCAAGGCCAGAGAGCCTTCCCGCACACAAGCCCACAGACAGAGACCACATGTTTGCTCAACAGAGCAATATTACTTTATATATATATATGTTATATATACAATTATTAACAAATTTGATCAATACTACGAATCCATCACTTTGAACCAGTTCGAACCTCCATCTCTCCACTGAACGTTCGACGTGAGGAGCTCGGCTTTAAAACAGAACAAACCCGCGTCGGTCCGTGTCGGTCCGCGTCGTTTGCGTCGACTTCGCCCTGGTCCGATTCAGGACTGCACCTTCCACCCGAACGTGACGAAGAGCGACAAGAGGCCACGACGGCGCTGGTTTCAGCGAAGATGGATCATCGTTGTCGCCAACGACCGGAAGACCCGACTCTCTACAGGGCTTTCTTCTTTGGTGGCGCTGAAATGGAGACTTACAAGTAGCAGGTGGTGACCTGTTGGAGGGGTTGATGGTATGTCGATGTATGATGATGTAGCTATGCAAAATGCATTTGTTTGCACATGGTTTATTGCGGTTTTAGGCTTGAAGAAACAGTGCCATGACGTGCTTCCAGCCCCCAAGCACTCCGGGGCAAGAGACCTCACAAACCATTCGAATCGCAGGGTGCCCCGGTTACTGGCGTCCGTCGGTGTTTCGAATCGCAGCACCTTCCAAGAGGTGTGTTGTCTTTCTCCATCTTCAATGGACTACTTTATTCTGAGCTTCCATGGGACACCTATTGGATGTTTGCAGGTTTTTTTTGGTGTAATTAATACCAAGATATACAAGCTATAGCTTATAAGTATATATTAAAGTTCATGATCGAAGGTACATCTATACTGTAATTCGTGGACCCCTCACTCATTAAACCTCATTCAGAACGGATGATCCGTTCGGCGCCCAGCTTCCACAGCTCCAAGTCCTTCGCGTCCCCTGCGTCACCCCGCGGGAGCTTCGGCGGCAGAGAGTGGGAGACCGACGACAACTGAGTAGTTGACCAGGTGAGGGAGGAATGTTTTGGGATTCCCTCTGGCACTCTGGCATAGTATGGTTGTAAAAACGCCAGCTCAGACAGCCGTTTGTCCAACATTTGCCAGCCTTTTGGGGAATTGGTTCTTTGAATGCTAGAGTTTCTTCAGAAGCAGTTCCAACTTGGAACTGTTCCACTTGGACACTTGCAACACCTTGCGACCCCCTTGCTTGCACAACACGAAGGACATCGGAGATCAAGACATCGGACCCTTGGAAGTCGGATAAGAGAGACCAAGGTGATTTGGAACCTTTTTACAGGATTTTACATGTAAACAAGTGCAGTTCTGGTGAGGAAAAACGACAAATATCAAGGCAATGGTGATTGGAAGGCTATCAACCATCCGAACTGGGTCGTGGTAGTCTGTTTTGTTTGCTGATTATACTTATATAATCTTATATACTGTATTATTACATTATAATATAAGTTTTGATTTGCGGCTGGTGTATGGCCATGCAGCAATGCCCTCTTTTGCACTGGGCCATCACGTGGCCCTGGCCCCGCTTTGTTGTATGTTGAACGGTTTTTCTCGGGCCGGTCCACAGAACAAACAAAAAACATCAAAAAACACCTGGTTGTTGTGTAGCACGTATTATACTATATATCATTTTGCCTCCCAAAGAGGTATCTCGCAGCAGAACAGCGTGTTTACAATAGCCCTGTGGCCTGTGGTCCCATTTTTCTGTCACCAATTAAGAAGACAAACTGATTGAAAGTGAAGCTAAGGGCCGATGCATGCGCCCAGCGGATGCGAAAGGCCTTTGCTGAAAAGGATTGGAGGCCTGGCAGGGGTTGATGACACCATGATGACAGTAGTTTCCCTAAGAATCTAGGAACCAAATCATCTAGGGCGGTGGGGGAGCTTCCTTGAAGCAGCATCAGCTATCCTGCATCCAGTTCATAGTAGCGTCCTAGTAGCTACTGATAGGAGCGGAGTGCATAGCCCCTAGTAGCGTGAGCTACCTGTGGAAAGCGGTTGCAGCGCCCGTTCCACATGGGATCTCTGACCGAGTGGGAGTTCTTCCTGCGCTGCTCATTTTCCAGCGGTGGCTGGCGGTGGGTTGAAGGAGCATATGAGCTATAACACTTCCTTCCTGGCTGTGAGTTGGCTGTTTTGTTTCATCAGCACGGGTGGACCTTTGAGCTTGACACCCAACTTGCAGCTTACTATCACATCTATATAACTGCTACAAGAGGCATGCGGCATGCGCTTTTGTTATTGTCAAAGTGCGACCAAGTTGCCACCTTTCTCCTGGCAACTTCAGACACACTGACAAAATCTGATGGGCCGTACTCGGCCGGGCGCACCAATCTTCTGGGGCGACTCTCCCTGGTTTGACTGTTTGATTCACATTGCAAAGCTGTTTGCGCTAATGGTGACGAACCCTGGAACAGTGGAAGGGACCTTTGCTCTAGTTCGCCCTCATCTTTCTTGGGGAACCCATCAGGCACTGTACACGTTGTACCGTGCCTGGTACAACACCAGTGACGTCTCACTCGTGAATCCTGGTTGGCGTGGTATTATATTAGTGTGTATATATAATATTGTAAAGTAAGGGGCTCAAGAGGAAAGACTTCCCGACCTGCAAGATTCCTTCCTTTTGCTTGACAGGCGCCGCTTCCTGGAAGAGCGAGCTCCCAGCGCAGGCGGCGCGGGCTTTTGCGGGGAGGTGTTCGGAAAGAGGTTCATCCGCCCGAAGCCCCTGGCGGAAGAAGTCAGAGTCCCCTGAGCCTGAATGCTGGAATTTCCTCACTTGTTTGCTTGCTTTAGGGCCCTTATTTGGGGGGGTTCTGTGATGTTCTGAGTGTTTCTCATGGGGCATCTCTTAAAAAGATGTGTGTTTCCCTTGGATTGGCCACGACAACAGAGTGTACAGACGCCAAGGGCACATTGTCTATTTGTGCGCTGCTACGCTCATCCTTTGATCTTCCATCCATGTGGCAACATCGTCCTTGGGGTGATTGCGAGGGTCGTCGTCCCGGGGGTGAGCAGCATCAATGCAGAATCGAAACCCATGGTTTTGGAGCTTCAAGCTTGAGTGCATAGTGATGCCAGATGAATCTACCCAAAGAAGAACCAATCATATCTAAGCATGGTTGATGAATGAATGTTATGGGTCCAAGTGGGAATTTCAACGAACGGCTTTGACTTGGGAGTGTTTACCCCGACGAGCTTGCCGTTGCAAAGCCGTGACCTGGGATCAGTGATTGGAAAGTACTGATCCATGACAATTCTTCATGGATTCAACTGGATCAAATGGCATACAGTTGGAATGTTTTCATTCTTTCAAACCTTCGTGTTGCTGCGTTAAGTTTCATTGGTTCTTTGATAAAACATGAGAAAACTGTGCATATTATAATGTGTATATATTTGGATTGCTTTGTTCTTTTCTAAATACCTCTTCGAACCGCTTTCGCTTTCTCAAGCCTTGTCCACCAAGTCTCCGCCGGCACCTCCGCCGGCGCCACAAGCTCCACCTTCTTGCGAAGCTCGGAGGCGAGGGGGGCCGCCCGAGCTCGATCAGCTAAGTTTAAGCACCCCACCCAGTGATGCTGAACCTTTGGATCAGTGGGGCAAAGAAATCCACTGATTTCTATTGTTGTTTGGACCCTACATACATATATATATATATAGGGCGCAACCTGTACAAGTTCCGGAATCGGGGATTCTAGGGAAGTGTTGGGGAAGTGAGGCCTAGAATTATGGTCTTGTTGTCCTGGATTTGTTCACAAGATAGTGAGGGATTGGTCGTGGACACTGGGCTAACGGCTAACTATGTTCGCTCGATGAATAGCTGTATAGTTAAATAGATATTGCCCCAGTATTGAAGTGCTGATCTGGCTAATGTTTAGACTCAATTCTGGGATACATGTTATTCATCATAAGGATCTGTGATGAACTACCCTTGCTTATCTCGGTGCAACCCGTTGATTGCTGTGCAATGCGCACCCTTGAATTGCCTACCTCAACGTGACTGCGAATCCAAGATGTTGTCAATATACTGTAGACTGTTGACGACGGTTGATTGTATTTAATAAGATCCACTATATGAAAAAGTTTTACAATCCAAATCGATTGTTGTATTAATCAACAGTCTACATTACATGAAGCAACATGAAGCAACTAACAAGGCGCATGCCTCCGATCTGGTGGCCAGTGGCGACTGGCATGCTGGTTCTTGGCCACCACTTGGAGCTCTTTCGGTTGTGGACTGTGTTTGTTGCTGATTCACAACCCGCCACAGAGCACCCAGGGAAACCCAACCTTAGACAAGGACTTCCCCAGCGAACGACTACGCCTATCCTTGTGCTGTGATTCTCAAAAGCTTTAGGACACTTTGAAACGGATGAAGATGCCTGGCAAACACGCACAGCAGCAAGAGTAGACTCATACACCATCACACACCCACACACTGCCACACATAAAATATATTGAAAATTATTGAAATACAATGATATATATATATATCGTACATATAACATATTATATATACATATCATGGATAGATATTGAGACTGGAACACATCTTAAAATAACACTGTTCCAGCACGTC